GAAATGAGACAATCCTGGATGTCTTGGTAATTAACCATTTATATGAGTGGCCGGCACACACATATAAAGGAAACTACACTAGACACGGCTTCATAGACTCCCTAGGACACTTGAACTAGGGCTCTGATACCAAGCTTTGTCACACACCGAACCTGGGCCTAGACGTAACATGGCACTCGGTGCTTGACTACATATGACCGAGCGAACGAACTGGCTGGCTGAATCAACATGTGATATCATAACATACTAAATACGAAAGATAAACTAACACATGCTGATATACTAAAAGTCTGAATGATATAAATCAAAGTACGGAAATACTAATACAATTTCTGAAACATATTTGTAGGAAATATAGCTTAACATGAAAAACTTGAGACTCTGTCTAACTGTTACTGTAGTCTAGAAGCCTCTAATGAAGTACTGAAAACACCGACTGTCTGAAAATACTGAAGACTATAGTAATGATAATTCCCCGAAAGAACTAGGGATCACCAAACAGCTAATACAAAAGTCCTAGCGCTCTGAATCATCAACCTGTAAATCATTACCTGCATCTTGAAATGTAGGCCCCGGGCAAAAGGGACGTCAGTACATTTGAATTGTACTGGTATGTAAAGCAACTGAAAGAAAGAATTATAAATGTTGAAACTAATACTGAGCGGATAACTGAGAATTGATAATTGATAATTGAAATAATAACTATTGAAATTGAAACTGAAATGATAACTGATAACTGATAACTGAACTGATAACTGGTAACTAATATGATAACTAATAACTGAACTGATAACTGGTAACTGATACATGATAACCAATAACTGAACGGTAATAATAATTGAACTGAAAGGAAGTAAAGATATGAATACTCCCTCTTCTGAATGATGAACAACATGTTTATCTGAATATTAAACTACGGCCTCAGGCCCAATATATATATGTGCACAAACTGCGGCCTCGGGACCAAGTATACGTATACATAACTGCGATCTCAGGTCCAAAATGCATAAAGCATAAACTGCAGCCTCAGGCCCAAAGATGCATAAAGCATAAGCTGCGACCTCAGGCCCAAATACAAGTGTTCAACATTCAGGGATTTAAAATCAGGAACTAAGAATCATACTGCAATACATAATAATGAAATACTGAATCACGCTGAGTTACATGATACTGGAATACTAGATCACACTGAGTTACATTATACTGAGTTACATAATACTGGAATACTGAATCATACTGAGTTACATAATATTGGAATACTGAATAGGACAAGAATATGACATGTATTCTTGAACTGATTATGAACACTGAAACTTCAACTGTTTATGATATGCTGAGTAAGCTATACTGAGACTTAGGGACATCAAACCCAAGTCTATATTGAATACGAACTGAGCTCAAAACATTCAAAATGAAAGTCATGAACGAGTTATGAAGCTAGAGAATAGAAGCTCTACAACTATTCAAGGAACTAGGCTTAACTATATTTCTGAGGCAATCGATACATCGTAAAAGAAACGTAGTGTAGGAAGAATCATTAATATTCCCAAACATAGAGAGTTAGCCTCACATACCTTAATTTCCTACTCTTGAGCGTAATACAACATTCGCCAACCCTTTCAACTTCAATCTATATCAATACAAGTCAAAGGGATTCCATATTAGCAATAATACTCATGTTTTGGTCACTTAGGCATTTTCTCAATTACTTGGTGACATAAAGCTTCATAGTCCTTATTAATGGTGTTTCTACACATAATAACTCATTCTCTTGCTCCTAAATAAATTCTAATGTCTCAAATGGTTATAATCAACATTATTCTTTATCACCCATAAGGTAATCAACACCCATAACTAATAATAACCAATTAACAATCCAAACCTATCACCGTTCATGCTTTTCTATCAAACGCATCAACCCATATCTCATGAAATAGAGTCTATAATCATTAATCATTGATAGAATCAATTAGAGGGTGAAGATATTACCATTTTGACGTTCAATCTTCTTGAATTAGAGTTCTAGGGTTTCTTCTCTCAACAATAGTGTCTCAATCGAATATTTAATGATATGGAGGGTTTACCCATGTTAATAAGATGTTGGAAAATTAAAACTAACTTAGAATCACCATTAGAACATACCTTGGATGGTGGAGGGACCTTTAAGGAGTTAGGTTTTTGAGAGCTTCCCTTTCTAGAGCAAGTTTTTATGTTTTGGGGCTGTGGGGGACGAAATAGGGAGAAAAAAATGACTTCCCAAGTTGGCCACTGCATCCCAGTAGGCGCGACCGCGGTGCCGACCACGGTAAATCGCTGGGACACTGCCTCACCCCCGCTCGCGGTAAAAACGCGGCAGAACCGCTGTGGTTACATACCATTCTGTAAAACAGACATAACTTTTTACACAGAGCCTTGTTTGGGATCCACAATATATCGTTGGAAAGCTATTTCAAAGTCCTACAACTTTTATTCTTTGAAGTTTCCCATATTCCTTACAAATTTTCAGTAAAATCTGCTGGAATACGGACGTTCTGCAAACTTAGTCGATTTTGTCAAATCTTATGCACCTCACTTTCCATCTTGATTTTGAAACAACTATTTTCACTCATAATCGTCCCGATGGGACTTCACATATCAAAAATATAACCTTACTACTCCTTTTAATCATTCATACCTAAGCCGAATGTACGAGGTGTTACATGAAACTCATAGAATATCGAATAATTATGAAACTATGTCATCTAGAGAATAGAAGTTCTACTAATATTCAGGGAACTAATGCATAGTTACTTTCTGAGGGAACTGGTAATGGTCATAATGAATGGGACGTAGGGAGAATCATAGACATTCCCAAACATAAAGAGTTAGCCTTACATACCTTAACTTTCTGCCCTTGAGCATAATGCAATGTTTGTCAACCTTTTCAACTTTAATCTATAGCAATACAAGTCAAAAGGATTCCATATTAGCATGTTTTGGTCACTTAAGCATTTTATCAAACACTTGGTGAAAATAAAGTTCATAGTCCTTATTAATAGTGTCTCTACACCCAACAACCCATTCTTTTGTTCCTAGATAAATTCTAAAGTCTCAAATGATTATAATCAACATTATTCTTCATCACCCATAAGGTAAACAACACCCTTATCCAATAATCAACACTCAACACCCCAACCCTATAATTGTTCATGCTTTTTTATCAAACGCATCACCTCATATCTCATGAACTAGGGTTTATAATCATTAAATCAATGCTAGAATCAATTAGAGGGTGAAGACATTACCTTTTTGAAGTTCAAACCCTTTGAATTCGAGTTCTAGGCTTCCTTCTCTCAACAATGATGTCTCAATCGAATATCTAATGATATGGAGGATTTACCCATGTTAGTAAGATGTTGAAAAATTGCAATTAACTTAGAATAACCATTAAAACTTACCTTGGATGGTGGAGGGACCCTTAAGGAGTTAGGTTTTTGAGAGCCTTCCTTTCTAGAGCAAGTTTTTATGTTTTGGGGCTGTGGGGAATGAAATAAGGCTAAAACAATGACTTTCCAAGTTGTCCACCGCGTCCCAGTTGGCACGACCGCGGTCCCGACTGCGGCAAATCGCTGGGACACTGCCTCACCACCGCGGTCGCTGTAAAAACGCGGCAGGACCATGGTGGTTACACACCATTCTGTAAAACGGGTATAACCTTTTGCACATAGCTCCGTTTGGGCTCTACAATATATCGTTGGAAAAATATTTCAAAGACCTACAACTTTTATGCTTTGAGTATTTCCCAATTCCTTACACATTTTCACTAAATCCTTCTAGAAGACAGACCTTCTGCAAACTTAGTCGATTTTGTCAAATCTTATGCACCTCACTTTCCATCTTGATTTTGAAACAACTATTTTCACCCATAATCATCCCGATGGGACTTTACATGTTCAAAATATATCCTTACTACTCCTTTAACTCATTCATACCTAAGCCAAATTTTACGGGGTGCTACATTATCTCCCCCTTGGAATCATTCGTCCTCAAATGATGGTCCTGGCTGCAACTACGACTATCTATGGACATTAAATGGGTGTGATGGAGATATGAGAATACTGAAATATCATGAATACATGTATATCAAACTAGACGAGCACGTGATCACTAAATACTAAGCTGAGTAAATACTGAATGACATGGAGATTATAATATAAGACCTAAATGGAAAGGTTAATTACCTTCACATTTTCCTTTTGCTCTTCAAAGAGATGGGGATATCTAGACTTCATATCCTCCTTGGTTTACCATGTAGCCTCTTCAATCTTCTGACTCCTCCAATGCACTTTTACTGAAGCAATTTCCTTAGTTTTGAGCTTGCGGATTTGACGATCAAGAATAGCCACTGGAATTTCTTCGTAAAACATGCTGTCTTTAACCCCTATAATCTTTGTAGGAACCACAAGTGACGGGTCTCCCATGAATTTTTTCAACATGGACACATGAAACACTGGGTGTACAACAGCTAGTTCTTGTGGCAATTCTAACTCATATGCCACCTATCCGATCCTTCACAGGATTCTATATGGACCAATATAGCGGGGACTAAGTTTCCCCTTTTTCCCAAATCTCATAACGCCTTTCATGGGCGATACTTTCAGAAACACCCAATCATTAACTTGGAACTCTAAGTCTCTACGCCGCACGTCCGAATAGGACTTTTGGCGACTTTGAGCCGTCTTCATATGCCTTTGTATCAAGTTGACTTTCTCTATAGCCTGATAGACCAAATCGGGTCCTAACAACTCCGCTTCTCCGACTTCGAACCAACCAATTGGTTATCTATACCTTCGCCCATACAGAGCTTCGTACGGTGCCATTTTGATATTAGAGTGATAGTTGTTATTATAAGCAAACTCAATGAGAGGTAGATGATCGTCCCAATTACCTTTAAAATCAATAACACACGCCCTCAACATATCCTCAAGAGTCTGAATGGTACGTTCCGCCTGGCCATCTGTCTAAGGATGAAAGGCGGTGCTAAGGTTCACCCTTGTGCCCAATCCCTTCTGAAAGGACTTCCAAAAGTTTGATGTGAACCTAGCACCGCGATCTGAGATAATGGACAAAGGAGTCCCATGCAATCGGGCAATTTCTTTGATACACAACTTGGCATAATCCTCGGCCGAATCTATAGTCTTCACTGGCAAGAAGTGAGCTAACTTGGTAAGTCGGTCTACAATTACCCAAATTGAATCATGCTTTTGGAACGAGCGAGGTAGCCCTGTTATGAAGTCCATGTTTATCATCTCCCATTTCCAAATGGGAATTTCTATATTCTGAGTTAAACCGCTAGGTCTCTGGTGTTCAACTTTCACCTGCTGACAATTTGGACACTTAGCCCACGAAGTCTGCTATATTCTTTTTCATATCGTTCCACCAATAAACCTCCTTAAGATCATGATACATCTTTGTGGAACCTGGGTGAATAGAATACCTGGAATTGTGGGCTTCCGACATAATCCGCTCTCTGAGCCCATCTACGTCTGGAACGCATAGTCTGCCTCTATATCTTAAAGTACCATCATCTCCCCCTTGTTCAAAAGCCATAGTCTTGTGTTTGTGAATTCCTTCCTTTAGCTTCAATAAGTAGGGATCACTAAACTGTTTTTCTTTTACTTCGGCTACTAAGGAGGATTCAGCCCTGTTCTGGAGAACAACGCCACCATCTTCGGAGTCCAAAAGTCGAACTCCTAGACTTGCTAAGCGGTGGACTTCCTTCATCATAGTTCGCTTGTCTGCCTCAACATGAGCTAATCTTCCCATAGAACGCCGACTAAGAGCATCGGCTACAACATTTGCCTTTCCCGGATGATAGAGGATATCAACATCATAATCTTTAAGTAATTCGAGCCACCTCCTCTGACGTAGATTTAATTCTCTTTGCTTGAAGATGTACTGGAGACTCTTATGATCTGTAAAAATGTCAACATGTACCCCATACAAATAATGGCACCAGATCTTAAGCGCAAACACCACAGCTGCTAATTCAAGATCATGAGTCAGATAATTCTTCTCGTGAGCCTTGAGTTGCCTCGACGCATAGGCTATGACTTTACCATGCTGCATTAATACACATCCAAGACAAACCCCTGAAGCATTACAATAAACAATGAACCCTTCGGTTCCTTCCGGTATTGTCAGGACTGGAGCTGAAGTCAACCTCTTCTTTAACTCCTCAAAACTTTTCTCGCACGTGTTCGACCATTAAAACTTGACTTTCTTCTGAGTTAATCTAGTCAAAGGGGACAAAATAGAAGAAAATCCCTCTACAAAACACTTATAATAGCCTGCTAGACCCAAGAAACTTCTTATATCGGATACGGAGGTGGGTCTAGGCCAATTCTTCACTGCCTCTATTTTCTGAAAGTCCACCTTCACGCCTTCCCCTGAGATGACATGTCCCAAAAACTCTACTGATTTCAACCGAAATTCACACTTAGAAAATTTTGCATATAACTTGTGATCCTGCAGTGTCTGCAACACAATTCTAAGATGTTCTGCAGGTCAGTCTCGCTACGGGAATAAATCAAGATGTCATCAATAAACACGATTACAAACAAATCAAGATAAGGTTTGAAGACCCTATTCATAAGGTCCATGAAAGTTGTTGGTGCATTCATAAACCGAATGAAATTACAAAAAATTCGAAATGCCCATATCGAGTCCTAAAAGTTGTTTTTGGAATATCAACTTCGTTAACCTTCAACTGATGGTATCCCGATCTGAGGTCAATCTTGGAATAACACTGGGCACCCTGAAGTTGATCAAATAAATCATCTATTCTGGGAAGAGGGTACTTGTTCTTGATGGTGACTTTATTCAACTGACGATAGTCAATGCACATACACAAAGACCCATCCTTCTTTCGAACAAACAAGACCGGTGCGCCCCAAGGTGAGACATCTGGCCTTATAAATCCCTTATCTAGAAGATCTTTCAACTGGACTTTTAACTCTTTCAACTCTGCTGGAGCCATTCTATAAGGCACAATAGATATCGGCTTAGTGCCTAGAAGTAGATCAATTCCAAAGTCAATCTCTCTATCGGGAGGGACTCTAGGGAGATCTTCGGGAAACACTTCTGGAAACTCATTTACAATTGGTACCGACTGGAGAGTGGGATCTGAGCATCTGCATCCTTAACTCGAACCAGGTGATAGATATATCCTTTGGAGATCATCTTTCTGGCTTTAAGATAGGAAATAAACCTAACCATAGGTGTTACTGCATCACCCTTCCATTCTAAGACTGGTTCACCGGGAAATTCGAAACTTACTATTTTGGTTCTGCAACCTACTGTGGAATAACATGACTCTAACCAATCCATGCCCATGATCACATCGAAGTCTAACTCCAATTCTACTAAGTCTGCTACAGTAAGACGATGATGCACTTTGACTGGACATCCCCTATAGATACACCTTGTTATAACTAATTCTCCAATTGGAGTGGACACTTCAAAGGGTTCACATAACTTTTCTGGTTCTATCCCAAATTTCTTAGCAATATATGGGGTTACATAAGATAGGGTGGATCCCGGATCTATAAGAGCATAGACATCAAAAGTGAATATTATTAGCATACATGTGACAACATCTCCACGAGCCTCTGTATCCTGACGATCTGCTAGTGCATACAAGCGGTTTCGTCCACCACTTGCATTATTAGACTTTGCTGTGCCGCGCCCTTGCTGAGCTTGAGAGTTATGATGGGCTGCTGAATTAGTGGACTAAGCTGCATTGCCTCCATTGTTCTGATTTGCCGATGGACAATCCCTGAAGAAGTGGCCCTGCTGACCACACCCAAAGCAACCATTTGTGCCTAAATGACACAACCCTGGGTGCCTCTAACCACACGTGTTGCAAATAGGGTAACCAGGGACTCTGTAGCCCACACAAGCCTGTGACTGTGAGTCTGCTGTTCTGAAATTCTAGTTTTTCTTGTTAAACTTTGACCTCTAAACCGGTGCACTAACTAAAGATGGAGCAGGTCCTGATTTTGATTTCTTGAAAAACTGGCAATTGCCTCCTATTTGAGATCCCCCATGGTTGAAATTTCCTGCAAACTTAGCTCTCTTGTTGAATTCCCTCTCTTTCTCTCTCCTTAGCCGCTCTTCTTCCTTCAACATGTCTTTGTTCCCTTGAACAAAGGCAACCATCTTAGATATTGTCCTGTCATTATTCTGAGCAGCTATATTAGCATCAGCAAACAAATCATGTGAAAGCCCCAACACAAACCACCTAACTCTGGCCTTCATATCACGTACCATTTCCGAAGCATACTCGGCCAGAGAGACGAACTTGAGGTAGTACTCATTTACACTCATATCATTCTGTCTGAGTCTCTCAAACTCCAAAGCCTTGGCTTCCAAGACCTCAATGGGTAGAAAGTGCTCAAGGAACGTATCTGCAAACTCCTTCCAAGTCGCAGGATCTGCATCCTCCCCTCGGGACTCTTCCCATGTTTCATACCAAGTGTTGGCAACATCCTTCAGTTGGTACGCAACAAGCTTTGCTGCCTCAGTGTCCATAGCATGCATCACTCGAAATATCTTTTGAACCTCATCAATGATGTTTTGCGGATCCTCATCATTTTTGGACCCTGTAAAGATGGGAGGTTTGATGTTAAGGAGTTCCCTAGACCTAGAACTACCCATCCCATGAACATCACTTGTTCCCTGCCTTTGAGACTGAGTAGCAACAATCTGGGTGAGCAACTGGATAGCTCCCCTAACATCCACGTTTGAAGCACTAGGCACTGAGCCTGGTGCAACCCCTTGGCCGGAGTGTCCTCCTCCTGAGCAGCGTTAGTTGTGGCCCCCTGGCGTACTTTTTTTTGCAGGCATTATTCTGAAATACGCAATTCGCACGGGTTAGAAAGATTCCTGAAAGCATAGATCTAACTGCACGATCTAGATTATGAAAGAAATGGAACAATCCTAGATGGCTTGGTGGTTAACCATTTACATGTGTGGCGCGCACACACGCATAAAAGAGACCCCACTAGACACGACTTCATAGACTCCCTAGGACTCTTGAACCTAGGGCTCTGTTACCAAGCTTTGTCATGCCCCAAACCATAGTCTAGGCATAACACGACACTCGGTGCCTGACTGCATATGACCGAGCGAACCAACTGTATGGCTGGATCATCATATGGTATAACTATGAGCTAGAGGTAAATATAAAACATGATAATCATCTAAAGAGTCTGACTGAAATATCATAGATGAGGAAAATACTAAAAGGTCTGCAAGTATAAACGACTAGCCGATAAGGCTAACACATTAAAGCCTGCTAATATCTGACTGACTGGGTCATAGTCTACGAAGCCTCTAAAGAACACTGAAAATGCTAACTGTTTACCTGGACAAGGTCCCTGGTATACCTTATTAACTGAAATACTATAACGACTAAAACAAAAGAGAGATAAAGCCCCGAAAGACTGGGCTCACCAATAGCTAATATGAGATATCCTAGCAAGCAGAATCATCAACCTGAAAATCGTTACTTGCATCAGGAGATGCAGGCCCAAGGCAAAAGGGATGTCAGTACATTTGAATTTCACTGGTATGTAATACAGCTGAAGTAAAGAACTGTAAATACTGAAACTAAAACTGAACTGCTAGCTGATAAACTGATAACTGAATAAGGAAGTAAGGATATGAAAAATCCCTCTTCTGAATGATGAACAACCTATTTAACTGAATATTAAACTGCAGTCTCAGGCCCAA